GCTGCCCCCTGCCCGCCTCACGGCCCGGACGCCGGCCCCAGCCCCGGCTCTGCGCTCCGGTCCCCGCGTCCCGGCCCCGCGCCCCTGGACCTGCGTCCAGGCCCTCCGTCCCCTCCGTGCAGGGCAGGCCCTGGCTGCGGCCGGAGCGCCGGCGGCCCCACAGAGGTGGCCTGGCTGCCTCCAGGAGGAAACACAGCTGCTGCTTTTGAGTCAGAAACCAAAAAAAGGGGAACCGAAAGGGTGGGGTTGGCCGGCCCCGTCCTTCCGTGCCTCCCTGCCTCCCCGCCACCACAGCCACCCCGACCTGCCGGCCCGGGCCGCTCAGGCGGGCGCAGAGCAGCGGGCACGGCGGGACGCTGGCCAGCCGGAGCAGCGGCGGGAGGGCTCGGTGAGTGTGCCGGGGCGCAGAGGGCCCAGGGGAGCCCCGTCCTGGCACTGCATGGCATGGGGAGAAGCACTGCAGGGAGCACGAGGGTGGCCGTGCCCTGGGCGCCAGCACGGCCCCGTCAATGTCGCAGGGTTGGGGGCATGGCAGTGGGAGGCCGGAGCCTCCATGCGGCGGCCGCTTGTGGCCTCGCACCTCTGGTCACCTCCTCAGCAGTGCCGGGGGCCGTGGCGCCTGACGGGGGCTGGAGATCCATCCCTGGTGCAGGCCGCACGCTGCCAAGCAGCGGGTGAGCCGAGCTGGGAAGGCTCAGCCTTGTCCCGCAGCCTGGCCAGCTCTAGAGGAGGTGGCATCTGACTGGGGGTGGGACAGCTGCCATGGGGCCACAGTGCTGGGGGCCATGGGATGCAGCAGAGCAGGGCGGTGGGGTGGTGCATGGGTGCCAGGGGCTGCAGGGGTGCACTGGGGCAGGGGGTCAGGGTGGTGTCTGGGCACTAGGGACCCCAGGGCTGCAGCAGAGCACAGGAACAGGGTGGTTTGTGGGTGCTGGGGACCCCACGGGTGCTCCAGAGCAGGGGGTTGGGGTGCTGACAGTGCCCTTGACCACTCCTTGCTCGTGCTTTTTGCAGTGGGTGCTGCTGGGGTGCAGCTCTGGGTTTGTTCCCAAGTCTCTTCCATGCAGGAGATTCCCTCCTCTGTCCTTCTTGGCCTTCATTTTTGTCACCCTCCAGGCTGCACCTGAAACACGGGGGCTGTAGAGTTTCTCATTCCCAGACACGCCATCACCCTTCCCACTTGCCCTTGAGCATGACAGCCCCCTGCCAGCCCCCCATCAACCAGTGGTGGCACACAGGCTCAGCTCCTTAGCAGGACACAGGCAGGGGTCAGGGAGCCTGCATGCACGGGGGTGGCCCCAGGGCTGCGGTGGGGCACAGCATCCGGTGGCATGGGGCTAGTGGTGTGTGCTGGGCCAGGCCCGGTGGTGGTGTCAGAGCACGCTTGGCCGAGGTGTGACAGTGGCAGGAAGTCACATTAGCTGGGGGGGACCACACACAGGACATGCTTCCACCCACCCACTCGCCACCTCTGCTGTTACAGCGTGGCAGTGATGGCTGGCTGCGGGGGTGAGTCCTGTGAGGCACCTACCACCCCAAAGGACAGGCAGGGACAGAAAGGGGCCAGTGGCAGTGCTGGCGAGAGGGAGGCTGTGCCATGCTGGGGACAAGGAGGCAAGTGCTGATGACAGGGAGGCTGTGCTGGGGACAGGGCTGCTGCCCCATACTGGGGCAGAACAGCCCTCTGAGATACTCATCGTCCTTTCCTCTCTGGTGGTGCTGTCCCAGAGGACACAGCGAGGACGTGTCCCATCTGCCCGGCACTGCTGGCGGTGACGCAGCTTCTGCGACTCAAGGTAAAGCTTCTGGGGACCCAGCACTGCAGTTGGGATGGGCGGGAGCCCGTGGTTGCTCTGCTCAGCTCCCGTGTCTGTGCCAGGGGGAGCAATGGGAACCCTCCTGCTCTTGGGACACAGGATGAGCAGCCACATTTTATAGCTAGGGAAACTGAGGCATGAGGCTACAGGGGCATGCTGGGGTCGCTCTGGGCTCTCCCACCACCCCGCCAGCAGTCTGGAGTCAGTGGGCACCGTAGCTACCTGCCCTGTGCCCAGCAGGGACCCCAGTTCCCTCCTCCTCGGGCCTGGATCAGGCAGTGGAGGCTGCTGTTTTTTCTAAAAGACTCTGATGGCTCATCTTTTAAGCTTTTTTTTTTTTTTAAACCACCCAAACAAGCCAGAAAGGCCTGAGCCATGAGGGCCACAAGGGGACAGAAGGGGGGACCCTGGGAGGGGGGAACCCTGCTTGTTCCCAGCCTCTCTGTATAGCCACCGCAGTGGGGCAGGGTCAGGATTGCAGCAGCAGGATCTGTGCTGGGAGGGTCTGGGCATTGCCAGTGGATGGGAGGATGCTCCTGTTCTGGGGCTGGGGCATGCCCTGGAGAGAGGCACAGTGGGTGGGACCAGCTCCTGGCATCTTTGGTCCCCAGCTGGCCACTGTCGGGAGTGAGCCAATGCTGCCTCTTGTGTGGGGGGGAGTGAATGGACTGCCCGGCCGGGTAGTGGGGGGCTCAACCCCTGACTCTGGCCCACCTCTGAGCCTCCCCCAGAGGAGACAGGCTGTGGGCAGCAGGGAGGGGAACACCTTCTCCCAGGTTGCTTTCCAAAGCTGTGTTTGTAGAAGAAAAAAGGGAATAAGGTGGAGGTGAAAGGGGAGCAGAGCATGTAGGTGTTCAGGGCAGGAGACGTGGAGGAGGGCTCCAGGGGATGACAGTTCAGCAGTAGCTCCACGTAGCTCATCAGCTGCCTGTTAGGTCCAGCCTGGAGTCAGGTGTTGGTTACAGCCTTCAGAGGAGGAGAAGACCACAGCTCCAGCTGCGTGGCTCTGTGGGGTGCTGGAACTGTCTGGGTGTCACAGTGCCTGGGTGCATCATGGGGGGGCACAGGGCGAGATGGATGGGCTGCTCCAAGAGATGGGCCAGGGCAGATTTCCAGCCCCCTGAAGGCAGGGCAGCAGTGGGATGCAGGGATCTCATATGAGCCCTTTCCTGCCCAGACCATCCCAGGAGAGGCTCAGGAGGAGAGCTTCACTGAGGAGAGCTGGGGGATGATTTAGCTCCCCTGGTTGCTGGCTGGAGGCAGCCCTTTGAGACTGGCCTCTGGCAAGCACTGCTCACAGGGGAGGAAAGGGGGTTGAGCATTATCCCTGCACTCCTGCAGGCTCCATGGACGCAGAGGGCAAGGATGATTTTAGGGCTACTGCTCTCGGTAGCATGGCACTGAGGCTATTGGGGGCCAGGACCTAACCACAATGTTTTAGGGACTGGCCTTCTGCGGCTGTCCCTTGCACACTGCCAAGTCAGCATGTCTCCGGCACAGAGCGCCTGTGGTGTGGCAGGAGGAAACAGCCCACACAAACACACACGCACGATGTTGGAGGGGAGGAGGGAGCCTGCTGGGTGTTGCTGCTCAGGCTATGCGCTCCTCCCCGGGGCTACACTTCTCGCAGCCTCCCTGGCTCCCTCCCTCTCCAGCCGTCTGTGTCCGTCTGTCCGCCTGCAGACCCAGGGGCCCCCTCCAGCATCCAGCGGGAGCCAAAGCTGGCTGGGTGGTGGCTTGGCCTGCAGCCTGGCATCGGAGAGGGGACGTGAGAGGGAGAGGTCACATCGCAAATACCCGACACTGACCAGCTGCAGACCTCTGCAGCTGATTCCCCTCGTAGGGGTCCCAGCACCCCTTGGCTGCCCCTCAGGTGTGGGGAGAGTGCACCTGAGCAAGGTCCAGCAGTGCCAGGTTTTTGGCTGAGCAAGCACTGTGTCAGTATTGTTGTGCCCACAGCAACCTGGTGAGCACGGCACAGAGGAGGACAGTGGGGCTGACATGGCCAGTGTGATCCTGGAGAGCATCTTCTTGAAGCGCTCACAGCAGAAGAAGAAGACATCTCCCCTCAACTTCAAGAAGCGCCTGTTCCTGTTGACGGAGAGCAAGCTGTCCTACTACGAGTATGACTTTGAGCGGGGGGTGAGTCAGCGGCCCCAGGGCCCCAGGGGCTGTGCCGTGGCAGTGCCCAAGGGTCACCAGTTGTCCTTCGCCAGCACCCAGCCCCGGGGGTGGTTGGATGGGCATGGTGGTTGGCTTGAGTCTCCCCGGGTCTGCCCCTTAGCAATCATTCGAACCAGCCCCATCTCTTGCAGCGCCGGGGCAGTAAGAAGGGCTCAGTGGACATTGAGAAGATCACCTGTGTGGAGACGGTGGTGCCTGAAAACAACCCTCCCCCTGAGCGGCAGGTCCCGGTGAGAAGGGTCCTGGGGTCCCCACTTGTGTCCCCCTGTCCCCTTGATGGGGAAGGAGGGAGAGTTACCCTGCCCTGAGGTGGTGGGAATGGGGGACAGCCCTGCTTGGCATGGGGGGCTCTGCATGCACAGCCCATACCATACCAGGGGTCCGGCTTGATGCAGGGCTGGGGGAGCAGGGGAATGCTAAAGGCTGTGGGTCCCAGGGGAGATGCCAGCAGCCGAGCAGCAGGATGCCAGCGTCCACCTCTGCCTCTCTCTTCCAGAGGAAAGGAGACGATTACAACATGGAGCAGATCTCAATCATTGAAAGGTTCCCCTACCCCTTCCAGGTGAGTCCTCACTGCACCCCTTTTGCCAGTCCACTGTGCCTGGCTGCAGGGTGCTGGGGGGAGGACCCCAGAGGAACCTGGGGCCAAACACGACATCACTGCCCCAGTGCCAGCTGTCACTCAGCCATTTTGGGAGGCCCTGCTGCTGTCCGCAGTGTGGGGGGCAGGCAGGTGAGCCTCTGCAAGCCCCAAGGCATTGGGCAGCTCTATTTAGGGGGGCTGCTTAGATGGAAACCTGCTCTGAGCTCTGTCCTGCCCCTTTCAGTCCCCTGGCTGATCCTGGAGGTATGCTGCCTGTTGGCTGCCTGCTCAGCCCCCAGCCCAGCTGCCTGCCTGAGCTGGCACCCAGTGTGGCCCCCGACACACCGAAAGTCAGAGAAGGAAGTGGAAAGTCTCAGGGGAGGGGGCTTATTTATAACCTCTCTGTCATGGTCCCGCGAGCACTGTGCAGGGCTAGCACACACCAGCACAGCTTGTGCTCTGCACCGGCTGCTCGGGGTGGCCATAAGCCTTGGCTGCCCCTGTCCTCCCTGGAAGACCCCCAGCCGGGGCACTGAGGCATGTGGTCCTGCAGGTGGTATATGACGAAGGGCCCCTCTACGTCTTCTCCCCGACAGAGGAGTTGCGCAAACGCTGGATCCATCAGCTGAAGAGTGGTGAGTTTAAACACAAACAACTGGCTGTGTGTGCAGCACAACCTAGAGCACCAGGTTTCCGGGGGCTTGCTATCTTGTTGTTACGTTATCCTATGTCTACGGATGAGCAAGCGCTGATCAGAAACTTCTCCCGTGATGAGCGCACTCATAAGGCCATACCCCCACGTGCATGCTCCCTAACATCCCTGAGCTGACACCAGCCACTCCTGCCCAGGGGAGGTGGACACACACCTCTGTCACCCCCTGACTTCTGCAGCACTGCAGCCACCTTGGCTGAGGCTTCTTGCCCTCTCACAAGCCTGCTCCAAATTAGCTCAAGCAGGCTCAGCAGTTATTGAGGGCAAGAGGAAATAGCAGACATGACCACGCAGCTGTACTGCCATGCAAGGCGAGGGTAGGGCCCCCAGTGCTTTAGGAAACATGACAAAAAGCCTGCTGGAAGTCAGGGAACGTCTCTCCCAACCCATCCCGATCCTCATTCAGTGCTGTTGAGCTAACATTCAGCTGTGTGGGTGCTACCTCCTGGAGCTGAGAGCATGTTGCAGCAGCAGTGCGCAGAGGGACTTGGGTGCTTGCCGTCGGCCAAAATCTGCTGGAGCTGCCCATATGTGTCTCTTGGTGCATGTGTATCTTTCTGTGGCTTTGTGCTGGTGGGGCGAGATTAGCTGCTCAAATTGACACAGGGAAGTTTGACCGAGTGGGGCGGAAGCAGAGTAGGCTGATAACGGGGAAGTCGGTTATTTCATGAGAGCCCTGCTGCTCTGTGCCGGCAGGAAGCCAGCCTTCTCTCCACTTCCCTGCTATGGGACTGAAGCCAGTGTAAAATCCACAGGGAAAAGGGGAGAGAAAATGCTGGCCTTTCACTGCTGGGATGCCCTCATCCTGCTCCACCAGAGAAGGGGCTCTCTGCACCCTGCAGAGCTGCTGTGGTGCGGTGGTGTTTAGGCACATCCAGTTGTCCCTCTAGGTTGGGGAGAAGTATGAGGAAGCCGGCGGCAAGTGAGCGGTTTCCCAGCAAGGGAAGTCTCTGAGCAGGCAGGGGATGATGGCAGTGCCCTGCTTTCCCCATGGAAAAGCCAGGCACAACACAGGCCTCCCTCCCCACTTCTGAAAAAAATGGTTCAAAAGAGCTGTGAACCATGGGCCTTAGCAGCCTGGGGGATGCTGGACGTTTTGGGGGGGCTGGAGGGCCGGTCACAGCAGGACCTGGCCCTCCAAGCATGCTCGTATCCCTTTGCAGAGCTGCTGAAGAGCTTTGATCAGATCTGGGAGGAAAGGCCGGGCCCTCCCCAAGCTAGGGGTTTCGTGGCACAGGGTTTGCAATAGCCACAGCACCAAAACACAAGTGATGATCTGAGGGAAACTTGAGCAGCAGGGCCACATGTGACTGTGTATCAGCACAGCACAGGGTGAAATGATTTAATGGGGCTGATCATCTGCATTCAGGGAGCAGAGAGCTCTCTGCAGCAGGCTGGGGACACAGCCCTGTGTCACACACATTTCCCCTCCTCTGCCACAGTGATCCGGTACAACAGCGACCTGGTACAGAAGTATCACCCCTGCTTCTGGATCGACGGCCAGTACCTGTGCTGCTCCCAGACAGCCAAGAACGCCATGGGCTGCCAGATCCTGGAGAGCAGGAATGGCAGTAAGACACTGGGGGCACCCTCCCCAGCCCCTGGGGACCACTGCAGCATGACGCTGGTGATCTTTTCTCACCTTAGTCCCTTTTCTGATCTGAAGGTTTAAAAGTTGGGCGGTCACATCGCAAGACAAAGAAGCCTCTTCCCCCTACTCCTGAGGAGGACCAGGTAGGGGCCAGCATCAGCATGTGGGTTTGCTCCAAGGTGTTTAAGGAAAGGTCTACCTGGGAAAAGCCCACATGTTCAATGACTAAAGGGCACTGCTGAGAGATGTACAGACCAAGGCTCTGCTCTGGAAAGGGATGTCAAGATGGTGCCCTAAGGGAGGAGGAGCTTGAACCAGGGGATGGAGCTCAAAGGCCTGGAGGAAAGTCAGATGATCTTACCCCTGAGGTAACCCAGGGGGAGCTGGGAGGATAGAGAAGCCCTGATATAGGGTGGAGAAGTCACGGGTTAAGCCAAAAGGTAGAGAGAAAACACTTATCTTTTGTGAGGATGGGTCTCCAAGGAGGAAATGTTGCAATAAGAAGCGCTGGGGAGTGATTTGTCTCCTGGCGTAGATGCATGTGGGAGCTGAGATGAACGCTGCGCCAACCTGGCCTGAGCCCACTGCCCTACCAGGCCTGGGGAGGGTCTTGCCTGGGAAACGGTGTGTCTGCCAGCCTCACTGTGTCCCACGCTCTCCCTTGCTCTGGGGAAGATGGTGATGAAGCCCTTGCCACCCGAGCCAGCCCCCAGCACAGCAGGCGAGATGAAGAAGGTGGTGGCTCTCTACAACTACCTTCCGATGAACGCACAGGACCTGCAACTGCAGAAAGGCGAGGAGTACTTCATCCTGGAGGAAAGCCACCTGCCCTGGTGGAAAGCCCGTGACAAGAATGGGTAAGAGCTCCTGCTGCCCACGGCACTCCAGCCACAATGGTGCCTTCTCCTGATGCCAAGTCACTGGTGGGCAAACACACCTCTTCAGCATTGCAGGGGTTAGGACAGGCTGCTTGCCTACCTGCAGGCTCCTGCATGGGATGGCACATGAGGAGGGTGAGGGAGACTGAAGCAGTGGTATCAGCCCTCCCCAAGCATGAACCCAAATGGGTTTGTGCCAAGGTTTCTGAGCCCATTTCTACTCGGCCTTCTTGGGACAGGAACCTGCTTTCCCCTTGGCCTCCTCCATCAGTGTGTGACCAGCCCTTTTTCTCCTGCAGGAGGGAAGGATACATACCCAGCAACTATGTCACTGAAACCAGCAATTCCCTGGAGATCTTTGAGTGAGTAAGAGAAGATGCAGGGACATGGCAAGTTGTGCATGGTTGGAGACGACTTACATTCAGTTCTGTTAACCTATGCAGCCTGCAAGCCCAGCCTGGCTGGGTCGCTCTCCCTCTTGCACATGCTTTGAGAGCCTCTGGCCTTGTGACAGCCATCCCTGCCCTGCTCCCTGCACTGCCTATCCTGGCTGGGCCAGGGTCAGACCAGGCTGGGGACAGTGGCGGCTGCAGTGATCTCCCTGACGGCTGTGTCCCTGTTCCAGGTGGTACTCAAAGAATATCACTCGGAGCCAAGCAGAGCAACTGCTGAAACAGGAGGTAAGTGTTGACTCCTGAGGCTGTGTTCTTTCTACACACCAACCCTCCATGGGCTGCTGTCACATTGTGTCCAGCATAGGACCAACCATGGCTTGCACTGGCAGGGGAGTGTAATGCCAACAGCCCCAGGAACCATCTCTATCCTCCTGGCAGGCACTTCAGTAGGTGGTCCGCCAGGCAGGGACTGGAAGTAGGACTCCTGACTTACTGCACCCTCTCCAGCCATGCTGTGATCTTCACTCACTTTAAGTCTTGCCTGTTACAGTCGTGCCTCCCCGCAACCATCCTGTCCCCTTTTTGTTTTAGGGCAAGGAAGGGGGCTTCATTGTCCGAGACTCCACCAGCAAAACAGGGAAATACACTGTCTCTGTCTACGCCAAGTCCTCTGTGTAAGTGGATCTCAGAACAGCTTGTTCCTACCTCAGAGGGCCCCTCCAGGCACCCCTCACCCTCTGCCTGTCCTCCGCATGCCGCTGACCCCACATAATGTCTCTCCAGAGACCCCCAAGGCACAATCCGCCATTATGTTGTATGCTGCACGCCCCAGAATCAGTATTACCTGGCAGAAAAGCACCTGTTCAACACCATCCCGGAGCTCATCACGTACCATCAGCACAACTCTGCCGGTCAGTGTTTGGGAGACAGGGTGAGGCCAGCAGTGTTTTTACTGACACGACAGTATCCTCACCTTCCTGCACTGAAGGCAGGATGCTTGTGTTCCCTGTGGGAATGTGGCGGGTAAGCGTGGTGCAGCAATCTACCTTTTTGTGTTTCAGGGCTCATATCCAGACTGAAGTACCCTGTGTCTCAACATCAGAAAAGTGCTCCTTCCACAGCTGGCCTCGGCTATGGTAAGCTGGCCTGGGCTATCTCACAGTTCCCTGGTTGCAGGGTCCATCTCTACTGGCAGTAACTTTCCGGGGCTGGGACCCTGGCTGTCCCATGGCAGCAGGGCTTACAGCCTTCCCAGGAATCACTTCCCAACAATCACTGGCCCTCTGGTGACAGTACTGACCAAGAGAAACCACAAGCTACTTTGCTCCCCATCCCCTGGGGGAACAAGTCTCAGATTTCATGGATTTTTTGGGATGCTTTTTTAGGCAGCACATGCTCGTGAGCTCTTCTTGGGCTTGCCAGATCAGACGACTGGGAGAATCCTGCAGGGAGGTCACCTGCACTCACATTACACTCGCACTCTTTGTCCTAGGGTCATGGGAGATTGACCCAAAGGATCTGACCTTCCTGAAGGAACTGGGGACTGGGCAGTTTGGCGTGGTGAAGTACGGGAAATGGAGAGGCCAGTACGACGTTGCTATCAAGATGATCAGGGAGGGTTCCATGTCAGAGGATGAGTTTATCGATGAAGCCAAAGTTATGATGTAAGTGGTGAGCAGCCTGCAGGTCAGTGCTGCATATGCCTCGCCAGAATGGCTGCATTCCTGGGTGGTGTGGAGGGGCAGTCTCAGGCACCCTCACAGTCTGCAAAATGCATTTGAGAACCTACTGCCTTTGTGCTGATTCCCTGGTAAGCTTTTCCACCATCAGCTGGGCCAGAAGCACCTTCCCTTCCCAAACTCTCTTTATTCACAGATGCTTTTTTTGCTGCTTGGCCTTCAAGATGCTTAGAATTGCCCTTCTTGTCCCCAACACAGGAACCTGTCTCATGAGAAGCTGGTGCAGCTCTATGGGGTCTGCACCAAGCAGCGTCCCATCTTCATCATCACAGAGTACATGGCCAACGGCTGCCTCCTGAACTTCCTGAGGGAAACTCGGCAGCGGTTCCAGCCTGCTGAGCTGCTGGAGATGTGCAAGGATGTCTGTGAAGCTATGGAGTACCTGGAATCCAAGCAGTTCCTGCACCGAGACCTGGTAGGGCTGTGGCTGAAGGACACATCTCCAGCTCAGCGACAGCCACAGCATGTCCTAGACAGGGTCCAGCTAGTTCATCAGCATGAGGAGAGGCAGCTCGGCAGCCTTCTCTGCAGAACATCCCTTTAAGCTTCCCTGCCCACCTCAGCATGGGCGGGATGCTCTGAAGTCACTGCTCTGCAGTAAGTTAGCAGAGATTGCAGAAAGGGCAGGACTAGGTAGTTTTCCAGGGGATGGGAAATGCTTTTGTGGCTAAGGCAGGGTTTGCGTTAGGCAGCATTGCTGACTCAGACATGAAAAGGGACCTCTCAACCCCCATGAAAAGCTGAGCCTGCAGTTTGTCAGGCCTTAGGCTGCCATTGCCAGCTTGCAGTCCTGCTAGGTGCCATACCTGATCTCCTGCTGGTGCTGCTGTGTTCATGCAAAATCCCACCAGGGAAGCTGCTCCTCTGTAGATAAACAGGATGCCTGGAGGCCTCTCTTGCTATCTTTGCTGAGGACTTTCTAGGTTGCCCCAACCCAGGTGAACCTGCAGGACAAAGTGAGGCAAAGTGTTAAGTGGGTGGGGGCGAGATGAAGTTCCAGATGGTACAGGGGAATGGGAGAGGCAGGAGCAGGTAGGAGTGACTGCCTCCCTCTCTCCATTCACAGGCTGCTCGCAACTGTTTGGTGAACGACCAAGGGATTGTGAAAGTATCAGATTTTGGCCTTTCCAGGTCTGGTAGATAGTCTGTGTCACCGTCCTGCTCAATCCCCCATCTCCTCCTTCAGTCTCTTCTACACTTTAGTCTTTCTCCCCACCATCCTCCAGCTCTGCTTTTCCTCCATCTTCTCCTGTCTTTCTGCTTCATATATCTGGCTTAACCTTCTGCCTCTCCACTTTCCACCATCCCTTTCTTATTTCCCATCCCTTTTCCCCCTCTCTTTGCTGCTTCTTTCCCCCACCTCTAGTCTCCTGGCTGCAGCTTTCTCTCCACATCTGTCCAAATCGGCTGTGCTTGTGTGTCACCGTATCCCTTTCCCAATTTTGACTAACATACGCTTGTTTGCAAAGGGACATTTCTGCCTGTTAAAGCCCGTGCGGAGTGCAACCTCTGGTCACTCCGAGAGCTGTTGATTTCTTTTGGGCTTGGTTGGTTGCATGGAGAAATGGAGGAATGAAAGGTGTAATCCAAGACAGGCACCCTGATCCGGTTATCTGCTGCAGGTATGTTCTAGATGATGAGTATACAAGCTCCATGGGGTCAAAGTTTCCAGTGCGATGGTCTCCCCCTGAAGTGCTTCTGTACAGCAAGTTCAGCAGCAAGTCTGATGTCTGGGCTTTTGGTAAGAACATGGCATTAATGACTCGGGGATCAGGAAGAGAGGGTGCCCCAACAGCGAGCTCCTCTGCTGGTTAGCTTCAGGCACAGGTGCTCCCATGCCACAAACTGTACCTGCTGTTTCCTGTAACAGGCGTTCTGATGTGGGAAGTTTACTCTCTGGGAAAGATGCCTTACGAGAGGTTTAACAACAGCGAGACAACAGAGCACGTCATCCAAGGCCTGCGCCTCTACCGGCCGCAGCAGGCCTCAGAGCGGGTCTATGCCATCATGTACAGCTGCTGGCATGAGGTGAGTTGCTCTTGCCCTCGGTGATCACCCCCAGCTGCCCTGGGGGGCCTGACATGGCTCTGCGGCTCCCCCCGGGGTGCAGGGAGCAGTGGGATGGCCGGCAGGCTCCAGCAGGGCCCCCCCTCTTGCATGGCAGAAGGCCGAGGAGCGCCCCACCTTCACGGCACTCCTGGGCAGCATCCGGGACATGACGGACGAGGAGCCCTGACCCTAGGCTGGGCCGGCCCGGCCCGCTGACCCCTGCGTGGTGCCGGTGGCTGCTACTACTGGGCTGGTGCTGCCCCACCACCCGCCGGGACTGACCTGCGCACCGGACGGTACCTCAGCACCGCTGTCACGGACACGGCACTGGCCGCACCCCCGGGGCAAGCAGGAGCCCGAGGGGCCGCCACGCCGCAGCCCCCGTCACCGGCAGCGTCCCTCACAGCCAAGGACAGAGGCGGGGACCCTGACGGCCGCGGCCCCCGTGCCGACCAGCCCCGCCGGGCTCCGCAGG